CCGGGCCCCCCGTCACCATTGGGCTGGAGGGCTTTGCCAGCGCCGTGTGTGTCCTCCAGCTCCTCCACATCCACGTCCTCCACTTCCTTCTCATCCTCCTCCAACTCCTCTTCATCCTTCTCTTCCACATCCTCCTCCACCTCCACGTCCTCCTCCACATCTACCTCCACGCCCTCCACCTCCTCCTCCTCCTCCTCCTCCTCCTCCACCTTCTCTTCATCCTCCTCTTCCATGTCCTTCTTCACCTCCACGTCCTCTACATCCCCCTCCACATCCTCCACCTCTACACCCCCCGCCCGCAGGGCAGCCAAGGCAGGTGGGCACGGGTGGGCTGGCACCCCACGGAGTGCTGTGGTGGGATGGGCGATGCCATCGGGCCATCCGTGTGCCCTGGTACCAATATCGTCTGTCTGCGGGGCTGTCTTTGCTGGGCTGCTCCCGGCCGCCAGGCTGGGCCGTACCAGTGTCCTAGAGGGGACACGGGGCTCAGGGCCACCAGATCACCCCCCGGGTGAGCAGGGCACTGTCACCCTCCCGCAGGGCTCCCTGGGCACAGCCAGTCTTTGGGGATGGAGGGGGCAGCGGGGCTGGTGACACCAGGTAACACCTGGTGACAGGGGACCAGGGGACCTGGTGCCATGGTGGCAGTGGCAGTGGGGAATTGGGGGGTGAGTGTGTGCTTGTGGCAGTGCATGCACACGAGTGTGTGAACAGCAGAGCAGGCATAAGTGTGCTGGAGCGGCTGCGTCCATGAGTGCCCCCCTGCAAGTGTGCCTGGGGGCAAGGGTGTGCATGCACACGCATGTGCCTGTGTCTCAGATGTCACGGTGTCACAGTGTCGCAGCAGACCTGTGTCTGGGGACATGCTTGGCAGAGGATGGCAGTGTGTGTGCATGCACGCATGTGTGGCATGTTTGTGGGCACGGGCATGGTGTGCATGCCGGTGCGGGCCTCTGTGCCAGCCTGGGCTCAGGTATGGAGGGCTGGCACAGCTGGGGTGCCATGTGGAGTCCAGGGTGGCAGAGGGAAGCCCGTGTGCTGCTCTGTGATGCTGAGCCCCCAGTGCCTCTGGTGCCCCCGATGCCCCTGGCATCGCCAGTGTCCCCAATGCCCCCGGTGCCCCCCGTGTCCCCAGGCTCACTCGGAGAACATGGGCCAGGCAGCATCGAGGTCAGCCCTGCGCAGGGCCAGGTGGAAGGTGACGCCGTCCAGCTCGTAGAGGCTGCCCAGGATCTCCGCCCGGCGCTGGGGGCTCAGGAAGGGGCTGCGGGCGTAGTACCACTCGCTGCAACCACAAAACAGGCTCACGCACCCTTCCGCACCCAGGGCGGGCACCGGCGCCTGCAGCACCCTTGCCAACCGGGGGCTGCAG